TCTCACAGCGTGCGAGTACTCTTTCGCGTCGCATGAATGGAGAATTACACACAAAATTATGTCGAATTGTCCGTTTTGACAAGCTGTGCATTCGGTTTTAAAAGGATAGCAATAGTGCTGGGTGGTATGACCAAACATTTATATCACGGTATTTTTCAAAATTATACCGGTTTCACGGTACATTAAGGGATTTTTTTTTTTCATGCATGACCGGGTGTTAACCATATTTTCTACTGATTGAGAGAGGAAATACTGCAGTATATTGACTTAGAAAGTATGAATATTCTATGGAAAAAAGCCGCTAAAAGGGTCTGAAAGTTGCAAAATCTAGTGCTAAAGTCACGCTTGTGTGTGTGTGTGAGACGCGGGAGCTGATGGCAGGGGGCGGTGGATATTTGTGGCGGTCAATGTGGATATTGTGGATGAGTTCTTCTGTCATCACGTTCTATTAGTTCTACGGCTTTCACGCTTAGTAACACGTACAGCTGTTCCCTCAACATAGTGCAACAATGAAAAGGGACCCCTTTCAAACAGTGTCACGTTCCGAACGTTGTTTAAGCGACACACACCGGTATTGCGGTATTTTAAAAATTCATATCATAGCAAAAATAAACACCGGTATTCGGTATGAACCGATAAACCGCCCAGCACTAGATAGCAGCCTAATTTAGTTGCTATTGTCCGAGTCATTGATGTTAATCAAGCAACAAAAGAAAGACAGAAAATCACGCACTGCTCTTGACTGAAAAACTTTAGTAGCCCTAAAGATTAATCTAAATTTATTTATAGAAATAAATGTCTGCTTGAAAGAATGAAGAATATGGTAAACAAGTTGCTATAAAGAATGCATAATTAGCCTATATAAACATTGGTATTTCATTAAAAAGAAGACCATGTTCTTGTTTATGAGAAGTGGTTTTATTTAATTTTAACAAAGGCATGTTGTCCTTTGTTTCCACATTTCCAAACACATTATATAGGTTTGATATTAAGGTTTTATCATGATAGATATCAACATGTTGTGTGTCACCGCAGTTAAATCGGTGTGATTTAACCGGGCAAAGCGCACGGTTAAAACACACAACATGCTTGATATCTATCATGATAAAACCTTAATATCAAACCTATATAATGTGTTTGGAAATTTTAGAAAAATGCTTAATAAATGCACTGTAACTAAACCCATTAGATTTTAGCCAACTACATTTACTGTAGATTTAGTAGACTAAAACTAGACTAAATCTTAAAACAATTCAGATGACTAAAACTAAATGGCATTTTAGTCAAAAATTTTTTGCATTTCCAGTATTCATATATAGCATTTGTTCAGTTTGGACTATATATAGCTCTTTATCATATCTCATAGTTTAGGCACAATGTAGCTATAGTCCATAGACCAATGAAAATGTAAAAGTGTTTCATTGCTGGTCACTTAAGGTCCAAGCTAGGTGGCTCTTAATGCTCTCTTTTCCTACAGTGGTCAGCGAACAATCAGAGGCCATTTGGTAATCAAATCTTGGAGCACATTCCCTTGTCCACTCTTTATTGAGTTGCTCTTTGAAAGCTAAAGCTTTTGGTTTCCCATGCATGGGGGCTTGACTGTTGCTAAGCAATGTGCTTCATTGACCCTAGGACATGATAGCATGGTGCCAGTCTTTTTTTTTCACAATCACGGAGACGGTCTGCCGTCTTGCAGATGGTTCAGGGGGACTGCAGTGGTGGGCTGGCTGCTGATTAGCTCAATGCGTTAAAAGGGCTCTTTTGTTGTTAATTGTGTGCTTGGGGACTGGTCAGTCTGCAGCTGCTCCTGGCCTCTTTATCATATTCTGCGAGGGGTTAAATTATGAGAAAAGAGAGAGCCAAATACGGCTTTCTTTTGTCCCATTAACTGGCAAGATTAGATTTTGCGTTGAAGATGTATTGGATCTCATGGCTGGCTTCTCTTTTTGACGTTCTTGAAACTCTTGCTTGGTTTAAAAGATAGTAATTCAATGAAGGTCTGTTAAAGCTTTGCTGATTACATCTTTTCTTCAGTAATGGTGTTGAAACAGTACTAGACTGCTGTTTACCAGCTGTGGCTGATGCAATTTGCTCACTTTCTAGAAATTTCATTACGGCATTATGGTCTTAGCAGTGTATTTTACTTTAGTCTCCCTAAGAAACCACAGAATTTTGCCGTAAAAGTTTAGTTGCAACCAAAAGTACATGAATAATTTAGGATTAATCAATTAGTCCAGTTGATTGATTCCTAACCAGGGGTGGTCTTGTAAACGTTTCAGTTTTGATTTGATCAAGGTCTGTAATAGATGAATATACTTAATAGTGATTCATTATTTGCGTAAAAAGGAACTAAGAAAATATAAATACGCACCATAGTTAAATTTTAGATATTAACATTTTATGTACATGTAACTCAATACAGATTTGCAATAAATATTAACTAAAACATTTCTGATTGATTTCGAAGAGGTACACCACCAAAGGCTTCATTTTGCCACTGCTTAGTCGCAAGTTGGTGTTCCTAGTTGTGGTTTTGCTAATAATAGTTACGTCTTCACACCCACTGGCAGTTGCTGTATTAAGTTGCTCTGCATTTATATAAAGCTGTACATCTCTGATGGTGTACACAGGGTTTACTGATGTGTCTGTAGGAGTACTGAAGACCAAAAATGCAAAGAAAAACTGCTGTAGAGTGAACTTGCAGTTGGAAAATGACTGTTGATATGCTTAAGTCAGCTAACCCACATAGGTGAAATTTATTATTGTTCTTCTATGTGTGCGACTGTTCAGCTCAGTGTGAAGTTTGTCGATGTCATCTCCATCCTCTGTGACTCTGCTAAATGCTCCTTTCAGAGCAGCACCACTTTCTTTCCGTGTATCTGGTATATTTTTAACTCTTCAATCAGCATTATTGTTTGCACAGCAGTCTCAAAGAGCCTGCAGCTTATGTGAAGGAACTCATACTCGCTATTGAGATGCATAATAAGGCCCTAGTTGGACTAAGACAAGAAGCTAACACAAAAATTGTTTTTGCTGTCCTAAGCAGGCCAGTAGTACATATTTTTACTTGCTGTTTGGGTTTAGTGGTTTCCTGAGATCTCTGTAACTCTAGAGCTCCTGGATCAATTTTTGTTGCCATTGAACCTGTTTGCTTTGTGTTAACAACTCGAGTCCCTAAGCATTAAGCCACTGCCACCACATATATGCATAATTAGTAAGGGTCAGACACAGCCTGAAGTGGAGATGGCTTAATTAGTGCTGGAATAATTGTCACTTTGCTAACCTGAGTCTCAGATACCTGAGCGTGTGCCATGTTGCTGTTCC